GACGCGTGTACACGCATCCGAGCCCGCGCCGAGCGCGCACATGCCATCCTGGTAATGAGCACAGGACCGTGGCATCCCACGTCATGGATCTAGTAGCCTGGGCCGCGCACTCGTTTACCTGCGCTTGCGCCGGACTTTCACCGGTCTAGGGTTTGGCACCAGGATGAGGCGGAGGGTGTGGCCACTGAAGGCATATTTCGGCACCCTGAAGTCGGATCATTCGCCCTCAGGGCGGCGTGTACAGGCTGCAGTCGCCCGTGCCATCCTCGCTGCGCGGGAAATGGCAAACGTGGTCCAGCGCTGGGGGTTTCTCGTCCAGCTCCGTGCAGCAGCATGCGCCGCATTCGGGCCACAACTGTATTTGACGCCTGAGTTCGTGGGGCCGAGCTTTGCTATCGACACCGCCACAGATTCCCATGGAAGCCGACATTCGTGTTTGCTGGGGCGCTGAGCTCTCGGGGACGCGGTCGCGCTGCGCAGCGCCGGACACCTCGGCGGTGGACGCCTCGACGCCCCACGATGCGTCTCAAGTAGCGGGGCATCTTGCGAGCAAGGCAACAGCGCTCCCATGCGGTCGCTGCATACCCACTCCACGCCTCGCCTCAGCCGTCTCTTTTTCTCTTTAGATGTGCAGCCGCTGCCGAGCTGAGCTCGCTATCCCGTGCGACCGCGTCCGAATGCTGAACCAAGACACGGCGGACAGCCTGCGCATGGTCAAGACGTGCGGCGTGTGGAGCGTGTGCGAGGGCGCGTTTCATGGCAAGGCCTTTCGCCTCGCCAACAACACCAAGCGGTCCAACATGAAAAACCACGTCGGAGCGCCAATGGTGATCCTGGCACTGGCGCCGCCGCCGCCGTCGCCCGCCGCCGATGCCGCCGATGCCGCCGATGCCGCCGATGCCGCCGCCGCCGAACCAACTGCTCGCAAGCGAGAGCGGGAGGGGCAAGAGGAGGTACTCGTGGACCTACAGCTCTTGAGCCAACTCGTCGAGGAGGGCGAGCAGAGCTCCGCCGTTTTTGCGGGCGTCGGCCCGCCTCTGCCGCATTCCGCTGCGGAGGCGGATCCGGCGGCGGCGGCGGCGGATCCGGCGGCGTTGATTGGGCCAACGGGTTCGGGGGTGGGCTCGGCGTTCGCGGATAGCATGGGGCCAGTTCTCGCGCCGAGAGTGGCTGCACTGGACAGTCGCGCTCCTCTGCAAGTAGGCGCCGCGCTATGTCTCCCGGTTCGTCTGCCGCTTCGTCGGGTGCGACAAGGACTACGCGTCGACCGATAGCGTGCGTTCCCATTGCAGGTACAGCGGTGTGGCGCCCGCATTTCACCCCCCCCCCCAACCCCCCCCAACCCCCCCCCCCCTCCCCCAACCCACGCAGGAAGGAGCACCCGGCCTGGCTGAACAGCCTTCCTGCCCGCAAGCCGTCCCTCTTCTGCGAGCAAAAGCAGGTCGAGATCGCGCCCTCCGTCTCGACCTCGCCGGTCCCAGACGAGTATCTGCACGAGGGCGAGGGCGGCGCGCTCTTCGTCAAGTTTAAGGTCTCCAACCGCACCCTCGTGCCCCTCGTGCGGAGTGAGGGCGTGGCACGGCTCGCCTCGAGCACGGAGACGGCGCCGATGAACACGCCGGGCGAGCTGCAGGCTGGCTCCCCGCTGCCCTTGCCGCTCCTCGAGCACCGTCAAGAGCAGGCCGGCGGCGGAGGTGATTTCGAGGGCGCGGCGCCTCACATAGCGCAAGTCGCCTTGGAGGTCCTCTCTGGCGACGAATTGATGGCGCTGATGAGCGACCCCTCCGCCTCCGTGCCGCCCTCGCCACCGGCCACGCCGGCGCCGCTGCTCTTCGCGGCGCGCCTGGGCGTGATAGCACCGATCCAGGTCACGCTCGCCGTCGTGGTGGTGTGCGTCGCCTTCCTGACCGAGCTCTACACCGTCCCGGTCATCCTGTTCGCGGCCGCGGGGGTGGCCGTGATGTCCGTCGCCTACATGGCACAAGCCTCGCCTCGCATTGTCGCGCGCGCGGTGATGCTGCTGGTCGTGTGTGCCCCGACGCTGCGTGTCGTCGACGTCCTCGTCCGCTCGCCGGCAGCGCTGATTGATGAGCTCGACAAGCTGGAGGACGCAAGGCTTGGCATGGCCGCGCTCTTTGTAGCGGGCGGCGCCACCTTCGGAGCCTTCTCGCCCTCCACTCTCTCTTGCAAATGTAAGCTACGCGCAGCGGCCTACTCTGTCTGCGCAGCTACGTGCGGCGACTCGATCTTCCGCGTCCGAATGGGCGACGAGCGGATGCCTGCCTTTGCGATTCTTAACGGCGCCCTTCCCTTCTTTGCGGCCGTCCTCATTGCCCACGGAGCCTCTCGGCAGCTTTATCAGGCACGACTCCCCGCGCTCTGACGCTATAGCTTGCACTCATGTCATCCGGCGGGGCTGAAATCGGAGTATGCTAGGACATAGCATGTAGCATGTGCATGTGCATGCACACACGTTGTGAGCATAATGGGCGGGATCCGGGATATGGTGGCCAACAACTTCCCACGCACAACATCGAATGGTCGGGTAGTACAACAACAACAACATGTACATGTACGGCTTCAGGGCTAGAGGGTCGCTCTACACTTAGCCTCTGCAGCGAGCGAGCGCTCAACTTAGCCCCCGCACGGAGCCGGGCTCAGACTTAGACGCTGTATGTCGGGGGGGCATGAACTAAGACGACACAAGGCCAAGAACTCCGGGTAAAACCAGGTTTACCCGAAAAATACCTTGGACGCGTCGACATATCCTCATATGTCACGCACGCCTACTCCCAGGGCCAGTGGAGTGCGCTACTTGCGGCGCGCACCGCCTGCTCAAGTACCCGCATCGTACCATGTGCTGCCGCTACAAAAGATCAAGGCGGTGCTTGGCACGCGCTTCTGCGATCCCGATCAGCTCATCACAACGAAGCAGCGCAACAAGCTGGCTGCTGCCAACAAGGCCCTATGCTACCTCACGCGCGGATCGTTCAAGGAGGACTCAGGACCAGCCCGCCGCAGGCGAAGAAAATTTTGGGGGCTGTGGCGCCTTCTCACGGTGGGAGCGCTCTTGGCCCCAGGCCGTGCCATATGGCCGACTTTAGCGGGTGTAAGAGGCTCCCGCTGATCTTAGACCGTGTAAGCACCGCAGGGCGCAGCCTCCTGCCTAGGCAGGCAGGTTTTTAAAGAATAACGCGTCGTCGCGTTATAAGACCTTAAGAGACTACTGACTACCCGCCATGCGCCACAAGCCTCTGTCGTGTGTCGAGGCTCTCAGGGAAAAATTGTGTAAAACTGAGATTTTTGGAATTTGGCTGATCGGGATCGTCGTCGTCTCTTTGGTCGCCTCATCAGCTCTCCTTCATACCACCATTTCTCCCGTTAGGAGGCACAGGCACAGTCCTGAGGGGCACACGCGGGCGTTGGGCTTGGGGCAGCGCGTGAGCTTCGAATGGACAGGATGTGTCAGAGGCTGGAGGCGAGAGTCCGTGGCGATGCGGGCGGGCGGTGTAGAGGCGTCGCTCACCGCAGGCCACACCGCAGTCCTCCGCGCCGTCCTGCGCCCGCGTGTCGGACTGTGGCGACGGGTTCTCGGGGAGGCCGAGCCGGAGCCTCTCCGCGCGCAGCTGACGCATATACTCCTCGTCCTCCCGCACCGACGAGCTGCTGCGGCGGTTTCGGCCTCCTTCTGACACGACCAGGGTCACCTCGCCCTCCGCCTGCAGACGGCACGAATCGCGTCAAATGAGGGAGAGGGGCGGGCGGCGCTTTCAGCAAGGGTGGAGGGTGGGATGGTGACTGCATGCACAGTGGCATTCTGAGCGTGGAGGCGGCGCCTCCTTGATGAGCGAGGCTGCATGCTCGGTGCTGTGCACGGGCTCGCCGTTGACAGCGAGAAGCTGGCCGTTTCCGACAGCCACCGCGCCCGATACGCGCTCTCCGAATGACTTTTCAGGTTTGAGCGCGACAGGGCCTTTGCGGCTGCGGCTGCGGCTGTTGCTGAGCCGCACACCCACTTCGTCTTGCTGCGTCGATTTGTAAACGCTGACAGTCCGGATGCTAGTCTCGTCCGACTTGGCGGATTTGGAGCTGCAGCCGCCTGAAGGACAGACGAGCCGCGGCCGTGTTATATGAGTTCGGCTGAGGCGGAGTTGAGTTTGCGTTCGGGTTTGGTTTTGGCTTTAGGTTTAGGGTGGGTTTAGAGGCAGGAGCAGGGACCGGCGTGGATATATGTCTTGAGTGGGATGCGAGGCACCCATATGCGACGAGGTCCTAGTTCGTTCTCGCCAACAAACGCGCGAGTCTGAGCCGGCGCCGGTTTTACTTTTTCAAACCCCGCGCGACAGACCCAACACGAAACAAGCAAAGCACGATTCTCAAGTTGGGCCCTCAGCCTGCTCAAGGGGGGGACCACTGTTAATCGGCCCCCCGCGCACCTACCTGAATCACCTACTCGAGTACCTGCCTGGTTGGTGCGCCGCGAATGTCGAGTACCTGCCTACTCGAGCGAGTACCTGCCTGGCACCTACCAAATGTCGAGCCTGTCTGCTGTATTGCTTTCTCTTAAATTCGGCAGCGCCTTGTCGGTCGTGTGAATCGTGCTGTGCGACCGTGTCTTGTGTTGTGAAATTCGTCTTCCGTAAAATTATCAGCAGAGTCCTCCTCCGGGAATGCACGTAAGAGTCGGGGAGCAGCCGGACGATCTCGAGCTTGATGTTGATACCGATAGGGTGCCCACAGGACCCAAAAGAAAATAGCTTTCCGGCTCAAAAAGGGACGCACGAGGCAAATCTGATGTTGGATTGTTCCAATAGGAGCGAGGCCTCTTCCGTTGCGCGTTGGGGGACCGAGTGACTACAAGGAAACGAAGGTTTCCCATTGTGACCCGCTCCAGCGCGAGCGTGACACTGCACTTGGCGCCGAGCGCCCGCGGCTCAGACCTTGTGCAGGCCTACCCTCATTGAGCACGCCGGTCCGGACCGATGGCGCTCGGTGTGGAGCAAGCAAGACCCCCCCCCCCCATCGGCGCGCGCCCGAGGTTTGAACGGCCGCCAGGAGCACCAAGAGGACTCCTCATGGCTGTGCTCAAGTGGGCTTCGACCGGCCTCGGCTGGGGGGGCGGGTTGTCCCGGTTGCGGACGCCTTCTGCAGCCCCCTGGGATGGGGGACAGCACCCCTGAGGGAGGGTGTAGAGGATGTAGAGTGTAGAGCGCTGTAGAGATGTAGAGATGTAGAGCGCCCTGGAGCGCTGTAGAGCTGTGAGACTCTACATCCGGCGCGTGACGATGTGAGTCCGATGTAGAGCGATGTAGAGCGCGATTTTGCGCTGTAGAGTTGGTTGTAGAGGCTCTATACACAGCCAAAGTGCCGGGAAGGCAGTGACTCAAAGAGGTCGAGACGCGCTAATGGGGTGTCTCCGAGCTTACTGGAGCTCTGATGGACGGCCCTGACTATCCCTGACACACAGAGAGTCACTCTGACGGCACACAACACCCTATAACTGCGTCATGACCAGCCTGCCATGCGTCGCCGGTGCCGCATTCGTCGCAGTGCTTCTTTAGCAGGCGGTGGACTGTCGGCTGCGAGGACGGTCGCATTTGCGTGAGGCGAGGCGATCATTGTTGAGCGTTGCATGCGCCATGACTCGCGCCAGCGCGTGCGGGAGCTCCTGGCTGAGCGTTGAGTCCAAGCGAGTTGCGCTGGCCACGATCGCTACGCCGAGCCGAGCTGACGCGCCGAGGCGCCGGCCAGTCGCAGCCGTGAGGCATGCCACAGCAGCAGAGGCACCTGCCACCCATTGGGCGGGCAGACAGAAGGCCAGGGCAGCACTGGCAAGTGCAACGCGCCTCATGTCGGAGAGCGACCGTGCGGCCTCTCGTTCGCCGCTTATGGTGTAGAGTTTGTTGTAGATATTTTACGTTGTAGAGCGCCTCTACATCGCTCTACATCGGACTCACATCGTCACGCGCCGGATGTAGAGCTCTACAGCTCTACAGCGCTCTCCAGCTCTACAGCTCTACAGCGCTCTACACTCTACATCCTCTACACCCTCCCTCAGCAGCACCCCAAAACTGCCCCTCGGCGGCATACAGCACTGCCAGCCAGCCTCTTCCTCCTCCTCAAGGGCTGTACTATAGGCCATATTGCGCCGCCTCCTACTGGCAGCCGGGCGGGCGCGCGCCGCGGGCGCCTCGGCGCGCGCACGGCTCGCAAAGTTCGAACGAGTACTGCCGCCCGGCCGCCTCAAGGCGGCCGGGCGGCAGACCAGTACTCGCCTCGCAAGGCGCGCACCGGCTGCTCTGGCTGCTGCGCCGGCGGCCGCTGCGCTGGCCGCTGCTGCGCCGGCTGGCGGGCGGTACGGCCGCCGGCGGCCGCTGCACCCGCGCCTTCCCTCGCGGGCGCCGTCGCGCCGCGCGCGCCCAACTCTGCTGGTACACGGCACGCGTCGTCACACAACCGCAGACAGAACAGGCGGTGCTGTGCGTGAAGCGCGCGCGATCTCGTACTTTTAAGGCTGGATCCGGCCATTCCAAGGGTATACCTTTGAGAATCCCCAGCGTCCCACCTTCCTAGTCACACTCTCAATATCTCGACTCTCCAACACGAAGTGCTGCGATCGGGGGTGGCCCATTTCTTTTTCCTTTCTTTTTTTGGGTCCTGTGGGCACCCTAATACCGATTAATTCACACAAAAACACAACCCCGGACCCAAGACGCACAAGCAAGCACAGACAGTCGAGAAGGGAGAGACAACAACGACAGTCAGAAGCCAGCGCTGGGTACCAGGAAGGCGAATGCGATGATGGCCTCGCTCGGTGAATTCACGCTTAGGAATCCCCCCCTGTCAGTGGAGAGACCACTTCACAGCTGTATGCCTTGCTCCTTTAGGTGCTCTTAGTATGTTCTGACTCATCCGTCCCTGACTGCCTGAGTGAGTACACTCCCTTCCTATTGTCTTGTACTTGGCATATGTATGTATGTAGGAAGGTGAAGAACAGTCAGGCTCGGACTGGACACCAACGCCAGGCCCCAAATGACGTGTGAGTGTTAGATTTGTTTGGTATTGCTAAAAATCTCTCTCTCTCCAACGGCAACGCGGTATGTATGGGTGGACGCTGGACAGATGATGACGACACGCACGAGCGACACAGACACAAACAAGCTCACAAGACACACACTTGGCGTCCTGTGGGTGTGTTCAGAGAGATTTTTAGCAATACCAAACAACTCTTTGTTGTGTTCACTGTCTTGTGTGAATTTCGGCGTCCGCCGAAATTCAAGGTCCGTCGGTCTCTTTTGACCGCGGCGTTAGAAGTCTTTGCTTGTCATGCCTTTTGCCTTCTCTCTGGCGCTCCCGCAGAGGCCGTCTCTAGCTGTGAACAGCAAAACGAGACAGTATTTGTTTTTTGAATTCACACAAAAACACAACCCCGGACCCAAGACGCACAAGCAAGCACAGACAGTCGAGAAGGGAGATACAGCAACGACAGTCAGAAGCCAGCGCTGGGGACCAGGAAGGCGAATGCGATGACGGCCTCGGTGAATTCACGCTTAGGGCGGGAATTCACCCCCCTCCCTACCCTGTTCATGACGCGCCCGCGGATCTTAGGAGGCCTGGCCACACATATGCCGACGACGACCACCTTGGCCGCCATCCGTGCGTTGCCCGACTGCGGGGTCGATCTCGACCAGATTCCGGACAATGTCCCGCACGGTGGGTACGCATCAATCTTCTTCGGTCGGCTGCGGGCCACCGGAGAGCGCGTTGCTGTCAAAGTGCTCGGCTCCGCGAGAGGCTGGCAGCGCAGGCCAGCGGCCGGTTCGCCAATTCGCTCGCGCGCCCTGCCCCTTCAGGTGCAGCCGAATGACCCCCACCCGGACGGCTCGCGCATGGGCGACGCGGAGGAGGCGGCGCTCCGCCGGCTCAACGACTGCGCCCGCGAGCACCTGCCGCCCGGCGTGCCAAAGCTCTTCTTTGCGCAGACTGCGGT